CTTCGAATAGCTTAGGAACTGCTTAGTAAATATTTCTAGCTAATGTGGCAAGAATTGATCTTATCTTCTGCTTAATTAGCTTGATCTTTTTATCATGTTATGGCAAACAATTTCAACATAAAACCTTAGCATCTCGTTGCATCCAATCAAATGCATTCATATTTTCCCTTAAGGTTGCCACTAACCCAACTTTATGCCTAAATTTAAATGATGAGCTGATGTGCAAAACAACGACTAGGGTCTCATCTATGAGTGATTTATTCCATTTCTTCAAGTATGTTGAAACTCATTTTGCTTTGAGCCTCTACATTCATAACTACTTCCTATGTAGCAATTTGATGCAATGTATTATAGATTGGCACAAGTCCTTTAAAGTTAACTTTCCCTCCTTCAATAGGAAAATAGATAGCCAAATGATATTTTAAGAAGACTGCTTAATAAAATTGACCAGAGGTTTACCACATATAGTATTATAAGTTGTTGAACCCTCTATAATAAATCAAGTCATTGCAATATATTATTAATCTTCTTCTCTCCAAGTAATTGATAGAATGATTATTCCTTAAATTTTCTTTTCTTTTTCAGGGAATTTTAACAAGGAGCATATGCAGGTTCTCTTAATCTTCATTTTCTTAAATGCACTTTACGAAACTATATTGGCCAAATTCTGGTGTTGGACATTATGCCCGCAGTCTAGAAATTAGCAATCAACTTTTTTGATATAATTGCATCATTGAATGGGTTGCGACCCAATGACTATTCACTTTTGTAGAATATGATTAGGTCAACTTCACATCATAAATATTGACTTCACCTCTATTAACCATAGTTGCTTAAGAATAGCTCAATGAGATACTTGCTCATGTTCACCTAAGATAGCAGGAATGTCTCCTATAATATGAATCACAAGAAGTGGGATGGATTCATTTATGTCTTCACTAGCTAGTTCCTTACTAGTACTTGACTATAGCAAACGTATAAGAATTCTTTTCAATAGCTCATAATAAATCATACACCAAATTCATAAGATGGTAAAAATTTTCAGTATTGTGATTGTAGTCCTGGTGTAAAGCAAAAAGTTGGTCATTTCTTTTATAAGCAGGATGACGTTTCAATGGATTATAGTCACCAAAAGTGTTCCTTATTTTTAATGACCTTAACTAACTTGACAATTGATAGATGCACTAGGTTGATTGTAGTAAAAGAATAAGCAAGTGGTGTTGGCAAAGAAACCATATACATATACTTGTGTTCTTCTCTCCTCTTTGGGTAGGCAGTAGTGCTAATGGTGGATTCACAAAGGCAAGCATCGTTGGTTCGTTAATGGCTAACAATCTCTAATCTCGGGTATTAGATGAATATCCATCGTCAAGCTCAAATTTTGCCTCTTCATTTAATCATATAATTTGAAGTGACGAATAGCGGCCCCCACGTGATTGATGTATTTCTTTGCATTAATATTGCATTTGCGAGTTCTAGCAATTTAGCTAAAGTGTTCCCTCTACAACTATAGTGCATGATGAATGAACTCCTCTTTGCCTAAGCCACAATCATTTCTAAAACCTTGATTTTCAATGTCGCTCAATAGAATTTTGTTATAAAACTCTTAAGTGACTCACCAAGCTCATGATGTATTCTTAGTAATGTTTGTGAGGCCTTCTATGATCATTGAGAACTAGCAAATCGAATAATGAACATTTTCTTAAATTGGACAAAGGATGTCATTGTCCAAATATATTAGCAGAAAAACCACTTTAGTATTGATTTCTAAAAATTATGTAAAAAATTCAGCATTTTAATGCATCATTGATGACGAGAAAGAAGACAACTAACTAAAAGTAGGCTACATCTTCTGCTAGCTTTATTTAACCATGGTATGATTCAAGGTTTGGAATTTTAAATATGATAGGGGTATAGCTCTTGCAACTTATCTTGAAAATTATTCTTTAATTACATCTGCTTCTTTCATTTTACCCTACAACATGCCCAAGCATAGAGGATAATTTTTCTTCTACTTAGGATAATAAGTCTCATTCAAAATTGTAAATTTCTCTCCCAAGCTTCTCCTTCGACAAATGTACCCACGACATTCCTTTCAAAATTTGATTGAGAATGTCTTATATCATTCTCCCAAGTCAGTCTCCTTATCTTACCTTTAATCTGTCATTCATTTCACTAAGTGATCTAACTATTACAATGCTCTCGTCATCCATGAATGTAGAGTCTTCCACAAATTAAGTTTCTCTAATTGGGTTTCTATTAGGCCCTTTAATAGAAATTTAAATGTCTTTTTTGGATCTATGGATACATAAAAAATCACCACACTTTAAAGGTATTGCCCATAATCGATTAGCATGGTTCAAATAAGGTTCAAACATCTATTTGTAGATGTTCAAATAATTGGAGAACTTCATTAAATAGTGTTCAAATATGTTTTGAACCATAATTAAACAAAACAATTCCAGTAAAGATTGATCAAGTGTTTGAAGTTGTTGAAACTATGTTTGATCATTATTTGAATACAATTAGAATAAGCATTGTGTTGAAACAATGTTTGATCATTGTTTGGCGTATGAATACACATCTTACAAACTTAAAAATTTCCTCAATATCCTAACTCTATGTAACATTTTGATTTTAATGATCAAATTAATGATGCATGATCTAAATACTATGAAAATGATACCAATGATGGTTGAAGTTGGAATCTCCTGAGTAAAAAAATCTTCAACAATAATATATCAGTAATGGCAACAAAAAAAATTCAAGTGTAGAAAGACAACAACAACAAAGCCTTAATCCCACTAAGCGGTCAGTTACATGAATCCTTTTTCTCCATTATGTCTTATTTAGCACATATTTTCATTTAATTATAATAAATTAAGATTATTTTTTTATACAATACACCCAAGTCTTCCTAGGTCTATTTTTGTCTTTCTTAACATAATTTGAATCTAAAACATCTACTCTCCTAATCGGATCATCAGATGATCAACGTTTAATATGATCAAACCAACTAAGATGACTCTCTCTAATTTTTTTCGTCACTGGAGCTAAACCAACCTTATCATGGATATATTCATTTCGCATTTTGTCGCTAAGTGTAAATCAACTTATCCACCTAATCATTCTCATCTTGGCAACACTTAGTATTATGCTTCTCTTTTAAAGACCAACATTCAGTGCCATAGACCATTACAGGTCCACCACCATCTTATAAAATTTTCTTTTCAATCTAAGCGATACTTTTCTATGACACAATAAGCCCGAAGCATTCCTCCACTTCATCCAACCGATTTGAAATCTACTGTTAACATCCCCATCTATATCTTCATCACTTTGAACAATAGACCCTAGATACCTAAATCGATTACACCTTTTAATAATTTGATCACTCAAAGTTACACTTCTGTCACTAGAGCTACTACTACTAAAATTACATTCCATGTACATTCCATGTATTCAGTTTTTATTCAGTTTTTGTTCTACTCAAACAAAGGCCTTTAGACTCCAATGTAAACCTCCATAATTCAAGTTTTTTTCCCTGGGCTTCTTCTCTCGTCTAATCCACGTCAGCAAAAAACATACACTAAGGTACATTCTCATATAAATGTCGAGTAAGACCATCCATTACTAAAGCAAAAAGATATGGGCTTAAAGCCGATCTCTGATGTAATCCAACAGAAATAGGAAAATATTTGATCAATCCTCCTTCAGTTTGAACACAAGTAACAATTCTAGTATACATATCTTTAATGAATTGATTATACATCATATCGACACCTTTCTTCTCAAGAACTCTCCAAAGGATATCTCTTGGAACCTTATCATTAGCTTTTTCTAAATCTTTAAAAATCAAATGTAGATCGTCCTTATTATCTATGAATTTCTCCATTAAACCTCTCAATAAATGTATAACTTCAGTAGTAGACCTGCTCGACATAATTCCAAATTGATTATGAGAAATCTTTGTAATACGTCTTAACTTATGTTCAATTACCCTCTCCCATAATTTTAAAGTATGACAAATCAACTTAATTCATCTATAATTTGCACACTCTTGTGCATCCACTCCAAAATACTCTTCCTCCACTCCTACATCTTTTTAGTTTTTAAAATAATATTAAAATGTTTAGTAAGTTAAGAAACTCCCAAATCTCTTAAATATTTCCACACTTTAATTAGGACCCTTGATTTTCTTTAAAGTCCCACCAACTTCTTTTCTACTAATGAGAAAGTAAAAATGAAACATTTTATTATTATTAACAATATTAAGATCACAAATGCCGATCTTTTTTTCAGAAACTTCATTAAAAAGCTTATCAAAATAACTCACCCACCTATGTTGAATATTTTTATCTAAGAAAAACACTTTTTGATTTTCATCTTTAATACACTTGACTTGAGTTAAATCTTTAATTTTTTTTCCCTTTATTAGCTAGTTTATACATATATTTTCCACATTCATCAGTATCTAATAGTATCTGATCTATTATAAGATCACTAAACGCAAAATTTTTATCTTCACAAATTATTCTTTTAAACTCCTTGCAGGTCATTTGATAATTTTCCCAATTACCTAAGCTTTTATATTTAAACCGATTTTTATAACATAATTTCTTATATAAATAATTTCTTATATAAATATTTATATGAATCTAGGATAAAAGTATATTAAATGAAATAAAATCTTACACATATTTAACAGTTGATATCATTTCAACATATAAAATCAAGAAAATATTACATCAGGACTCTGAATGCAATGTGTTCGAGTCTAATAGTGGGGTGTCACGTGTCGAGTGGCCCACCGAAATACAATTTGCGTTCAGAGTCTAATGGTGGGGCGCCACGTGTCAAGTGGGCCCCACCGAAATACATTGATATTGGTTCGTGTTAAAAATGATGAAGCTCACTTGACACGTGACGCCCCACTATTAATATAATATTTTCTCTATAAAATCAACTCTGTAATCTAGGTAAAGCAGAAGTTTTTTTTTTTTTTTTTCTCTCTCCGTAGTCGATGTCCCTGCATCATACATGGTGGCTCACTGTCACAGCGCCACTACCCCTCTCTAATATTGCCTCGTGGCAGCTCGCTGAGCTCAAAGGACGGGCGGCTCGTCCCCTACTCCCCAATTCCTCTTATCGCATATTCTTCTTCCTCTCCTCGCCTATCCTCTCATCTTTTCCCAGCATCACAAGGTTACCTCGGCTTTCTCCATTTTTGCTTTCTTTAGGGTTTTATCTTTCCAGATTCAAGCATGAATCAAACTTATTATCTGTCAACGATACTTTATTGTGATCCGGAAGAAATCGGAAATGCCTAATCTCTGGCGTTTGATCGGATACCCAAGTCATCTCCTTCGACGTAAAAGTCTTTCCATCTGATTTTTCTGGCCTGTCAATGCCCGATACTGGATAAAGCCTCGTCCGATCCGTCCAAGTTTGGCAGCGATCAAGTTTGAACTGTGAATACATTTTCGAATTCCGAACCCTATGGATTATTTGGATTCGCTGTCTGGAGTCATTGGCTAACGTTGATCGATTTTATTAGATGGTATGCATTGCTAGTCTGCGAAGTTTTATCGTGCGGACTGGACAATTGAGGCGCTCCTCATCTTCGGGAAGGAAAAGCCAGATTGGTTGTTTTCGGTGGGATCTGGATGCGAAACTGCGAGTGAACCTTCCACAGAAAAATTACCTGAGGTTCAGTACTATCGGAACGCTGATGGCCGCGTCGGGCACAACGCTGGATACTGGCGCCGTCTCTAATACTTTTCCAGAGAAGGACTGTGATGAGGAGAGCGAGGTGGGTTATGCTAGCGGAGGTTGGAAAAGGTATCTACTATCTCGGAAGATTCATATGATCTGGTCTTTTTTGGACATGATAAGACAATTTTTTTAAAATTGGTAGTATCTGTACTGGCTTATTTATGAAAACCTATCTAGCTTCTTCAACTCTTAAGCTATGAAGTTAGAATTTGATCTTCGTGTTTCATTTGGATAATCCATTTAGTACGACTTTATAGTTCATTTGTGTGAGATCTAATTATTCTAGTGGCATAATGTGAAAGTTAGTTCAATTTTATATCAATCGAAAAAGAGTGCCGCATCTTGCATATTAAAGTAAAAAAGCTTATTAGTCGGTGAATGGATGAAGTGTGATGTACAATAAATTAAGGGGCTGTTTGGTTGTAAGTAGGATTTAGTGAATCCGTTAAATCCGGATTTATGAAATCTTGAAGGGATTAAATTCTGAAAATTGTTTGATATGTTGATAAACAAATCCTAATAAATCCAAAAAAACTGCTTGGAAACGTTAATAGGATTTATCTTACACAAACTTTCGCTTCTCCAAATCTCGTAAATCCCTCTGGATTTACTAAATCCCAGATCTAAGGCAAAATAGAGGAAAAATGGGATTTAAGAATCTGTAGGATTTACCATTGTCTTTTTTTTCCGTTTGGTAAGATTTAGCATAAATCTTATATAAATCATGTTTAAAGCCGACTACCTAATAACGCCCAAGAGTAGACATTTCAATTTTCCTTGAGCCTCTCCCAATTTTTTTTGTCTCGGGTCTTTTGTTTGTCTTATTTAAATTAAGCTTGCTTGTAATTAACTAGCCTGATTTCATCTCCATCTACAATCAAAGCATTATTACAAGGATCTAAATTTGAAGAATTTTGTTTTTTCACATCTTCTGTGACGTGATGTCGTGTGACGTGATGTCTTTGGGCATTCATGGTATCTTGTGTAGGAATGTCTTCTGATCTTGGTAAATTGAAAACAATTAATGAATGGACAAAGCCTGGTAATATTAACAATACTAGAAGTTTTCATAGTTTGATTTTTTAAGGGATTTAGTTCGATTATAGGACTAATTACTAATTATCATAAAAAAAAGGAAAATTTTATAGACAAAATTTACTCATTTTGCATTAAAACTATTAAGAAAAAACTCAACACTACTTAAAGGGAAGCCTAAAACAAAGTGAAAGTTTGCTGAGATGAGCATGCTTGGGTGGATGAGTGGCTTGACACTTAGAAATTACACTTAAAGACAAAATGCAAAATGAATATATTCGTGATAAGGTAGTGTAGCTCTAGTGGCGGACAAGATTAGAGAGAGCCGTCTTAGATGGTTTGATTAAATTTAACGTCGACCATCTGATGATCTGGCTAGGAGAGTAGATATTTTAGATTTGACTTATGTTAAGAAATGTAAAGGTAGACCTGAAAGGCTTGGGCATATTGTATAAAAAATAATCTTAATCTATTAGAATTAAATGAAAATATGACAATAGGAAGTAATGTAGAAGAAGGATTCATGTAGCCGACTCCACTTAGGGTGTGTTTAGGGCAGCTGCAGCTTATTGAATAATCTACTGATGAGCTGATTAAAAATAATCTATTGATAAGCTAGGTGCGGTGGCTATTATAATTTTTTTTTTTTGTAAAGTCAAACTGCCCAGGAAAAACTTGAAATATGGAGGTCTACGTTGGAGTCTAAAGGCCTTCATTTAAGTAGAACTAAAAGTAAATACATGGAATGTAATTTTAGTAGTAATTTTAGTAGTAGCAGA